TAACTTTATAGCTATATCTATTGTAGCTTATCTTTTAACCGTATTAAGAGATACAGATTTTTAAGCTTGACTTAAGTAATTGTATATTTAATGTTTGCCACCAAACTTTCGCTGAAATCAAATACAAATTACAAATTGAATTCCAAAACTATGTTACATAAAATAAGTTTTTTATCTATATAATTTTAACATAGTATTGTGTGTATACTATAATAAAGAAAAACTAAAACTAAAAATTTAAATCGTCATAAAGTCCCACACTCAAGTACACGTGTTATCGTGCCAAGAACGCTGGCTGCATTTTCTCGCTGAATAGCTATACTTAGACTTTGAGCGAGAAAAGAACCACCCTTTTATCCTGACGACCAGTCACGGATAAATTCCTTTATTAACTTCACCGCAGGTGACCCCACGGACCGATAGTCTCTACAGCAAATGCTATAGACACACACACATACACATATATATATATATATATATATATATATATATATAAGAAAAAGAAGAGCGTTTCTTTACATTTTTTCCTATTATTTCGTAAATATTAAATAAATATAATTAAACGATAGTGAAACTAGTTAAAGATCAGCAAATATTTTAATGTTTTGTGTTGCCCACCTAAGTGCACAGTCTGCTTTACTACCTAAGGTGACGTTAGTATTTTTTTCTTGATATACAAAAATATGTAAAAAGAACTTATTAATGCAGTGGCTGAACTTTTTGCTACGGTGCTGCTTCGATCCCATATGGGACAAATATATATATGGCCTAATATATTGTTCCAATTTTAAGTGTCCTTCCGCGTGCAATTTATGTGCCTAAGTATATATCTACTTAGTACAGGAAAAATTGTGGGAGTAATGTAATTAAAAGGAAAAGAGATATATTTAAGTGAGCCTAAAAAGAATGATATAATTAATGATCGGAGTCGTATAGTAGACGGGAATGAAAAACTTCAAGCGTGCTCTGTTAACAATGAGACGGTTTTTACCTCTAATAATAGAGCTTCATGGTATAATGTTGCCACAAAATTTAACAATGTTGAATTTCTGATAATATAAATTTATCCTGGAAAATGTTTGGAAGTATTAGGTAAACGAAGCTTATACGTAGTAATTAAATGATTTAAAGAAAATTGGATTTTATAAAATAATCTTTTTCTGTAAGAGCCGGTAACTCAAATAATAAGCGATAATCTTAAAATTTCATAGTACGCAAACTAACCTCCCGTTTAATGACGTTTGTACAAATAAGATCCCCACCAACATCGATAAAATTTCTAATTTCAATTTTAAATTTTGACTTTCCATGTGATCGACGGTAAAGGTTAACTTTTTTAGTATTTTTTATAGGATAGATTGACAAACAAGCACACATTTCATCTGATGATAAGTGGTTGCTGTAGCCCATAGACATCTAAGTCTATCCTCGATTACGAATCAAAATGCAAACGCGTTGTCACGCGTGAGGACTTAGATGGAATGCCTCATTTCCACTAAAAAAGATCTCCGGTTCTCCACACTCACCATACGAAACACAGCAGCATTAAGCTATTATTTTACGCTGCTATTTTGTGAGAGCGTGGTCCTGCCCCGGTCGAGTCGACCCATTCGTGCTACAACTATAATATAATCTGCCATCTTATTACTCAAATTATATAAGAAATTAAGTTAAGAAATTATACTCCACTTGATGGTAATTGACCATCAAGTGGAGTATAATTTCTTCTATCACTTCAGTTTTATAAATCAATTTAACTAAAGTCACTAACTTCATCAATTCGTGGCGTAAATTGATTTCTAATAATTACCCTTAAATTAGGTAAGTGTTCGAGTAATAGTATCACTGGACGCGACCCACTTGCAGTATTGCTGTCTCACGCCATTACACTGCGAGAAACGCCACGCCCGCCTTTTACACCTAAGCTGAGATTATATAATACGCCGTAAAGACGCACTTACTATACGCACATATCAATTATGATATTGATATTTCGTCTTTGTTATCATATACGTATCTATTAGATATAATTTTAAATGAAAACCAATTCGCCACAGGCGTATGTCTATATAATTACACTCATTCATTCATAACAGCCGTCCAGAAGTTCAAAGTACAACAGCGAACACACAGGCCTTCCATGTGGCAGGCGTGTGTGCTCCATGAGCCAATCTATGTAGATTGACTCTTATGATTATGATAGATTGAAATAAAATGAAAATCTGCGGATGCCAAACAACCTGGTTTTAACAATTTATTTTTATTTTTTGTCGTTGTTAACAAATGCTACTGCTCATGTCCTGTTTCAATTTTCCTCCACCGTCTCTTACGATACCCTGGGGATGGTATGGAGTACCTAGAAGGTATTCTTACACCGCCCCTACACCACGACCAAACAAAAAGATAATTTCAGTTTTTGGATTATTTGAACAATATTTCACAATGAGGAAATATAGCAATAAAATTATTTAAGGCTGTATTACATTAAAATCAGTTATTTTGAAATGAAAAAATTGTTTCGAAAACAGGTTAATAATAAGTTATTAACATCATAATGCAATTAGGCAGACCATAAATGAATTCATTTACATTAGTTCAGTGGCAGCAATCAGCGTAATGTATGTCAGTATATTAAATTTAATTAATTTCATAATTAACCAAAGCTTAGATAATAATGTATTTGGTATATCACATTGACTGGCAAATTCCAATTTCGTATGAACTTTCCTTTTATTTAAAAGCATTGTTGGCCAATATATTGCATTTAGATGACAAGCAAATATATATTTATTCGGTGTCTGACAACATAATGATTCATAACGTATTATTCGACGTCAGTAAACTTTTGTAGCATGAATTTGCGCAACAGATCACTTGATTCAAACCGTGGAGATATTTTTAGTGTTCTTTTCCAATGATAGAGATATCTTATATGATAAAATTGTTATTGTAATTAACGTTGTGTATCGTTATACAAGAAGTTACATCAAACAATTCTATATTATTTTGTGCTGTAAAATTTTGTCTTTCTTACGAAAATATCAGGAGGAACTTCTGTTTGCGGTATAACCATCTTATATAATATGCTAGGTGAGTAATAACCAGACTGGTGCTACGATAACTAATATAGTACTGTAATTTCTTTACAAACCTTGCTGGAAGAGAACCTTCTTGTAGGTTTGTTTAAGTACTTACCCTTTGTCTCTGATAACGAGCACACATTTTTTTTTATTTTTTTTTTATATAAGTTACCTCAACGCTAAAAGTTTCTCCTGTATCGTGGGAGCACTTTACATAAATAAATTTCACAAGGACGAACATCTAGACCCGGAACAGTTATTTGTAGGCCATACAAATGTTTGTTCCGTGCGGGATCTGTGTATATAAAAATCAGGTGTGCGTATGTTCGTAATTCATCTCCTTAAGCAACTGAATCGATTTTAAATAAATTTTCTATGGAATACTTATGGCGTAACCTGAATGGTTTTAGATACAATTAGACCCGGTAGGTGGCGCTTTTGTCGAGATCCAAGACGCACCCGTGCGAAAAGGGGGCGGATGTTTAATATAAATTTCATCATAAATATCATCATCATACCCCATCACAAGTCCACTGCTTAACATGACCTCCCCAAATAAACGTCACAAAACACGATCCTGAATCCACTCCATCGATTTCGTGCATCTCTTCACTCCATCTATATAGTACGATTGGCCCTAAACTCCGTTCACCGGTGTGAAACTCTTCCACTCGATAACCTGACTTCCCAATCCGTTGTTGATTCTTTGATCTATATCGCAGGCCTGATGCCATTTAAGCTTTCTGAAATGTTAGTTGTTGTTATATTGGTTTCTCTGGTTCTGATTTAGGTCAAGTTTCATTACAATCGTACTGAAACTTTACAAACCCTCCACTCCATACTCCCGAACCGAACTATTCAACTATTCCGAAGATATACTTAAGACTTCAGACAGACTAACGAATGTTTTTAAATGTTTATTCTTGTCTTAATAACATGCAATAACCCCTTAAGCTCAATAAAAGGCAGTTCATTAGATATTACAGACAGATACATCAATTTTAAATTCATATAAATATATATATGAATCTAGCATGGGCAGCAGACATAATTTAAATGAAATTAACCAACACGCGATCTTTAAAACGCTTGCCTAGCATCCTAACGTGTCGGTTATGAAAAAACTTATCATTATTATAGCTAATATTTAAACACAAACAGTTGACTTTAACTAATGGATTGAAGAATGGTTCACTTTCATTAAATTATATATTACTCCATATTTGTGTTAATGTTCTTGTAATGAGCCATGTTCTTAAAGTGTAGGAACTCTTTTAGTTTACAATTCAATAAAAATATGTTTCATGCAAACTTTATATAACACTTAACAGCCTTGGTAGCTCAGAGGGTTAGCGCTCGCTGTAAATTTAACAGTACGCGAGAAAACGGAGTTCGATCCCCGTAGGCACCAATGAAATTGGTAATTGCAATTTTACGTGCTGATTTACCACGTGCTCGGTGGTGAAGGAGAACGTCGTGAGGAAACCTGCATGTCTGAGAAATAAGAAAAAATATTTCGAAGACATGTGAAGTTCACCAACACGCATTGGGGGGGACCATTCCTTGCCATAAAACCCTCTCAGAAATGAGCGGAGGCCTGTACCCAGCTGTGGGACGTATATAGGCAGTAACTTTAACTTTAACTTTTAACAGTAACAAGCGAATACTAGATCTTTAACCTGTAATAGAAATTACTTATCATTGTGGTTAAATTGTTTTCCGATTCCGATCTTTAATTATCAATTTGTATTAAATATAAATTGCAACCCATCAGATGCGTGTTACATCTAAAAACTACGACCAGTATCTGAAAAATAAATACACGCAGCATTGCTCACCAGAAAGATTGAGAGTTACATAGAAGAGTCCCACCTTCTAGTAAAACAAAATTTTCAAAACTAATATAACATAACAACTTACTTTTAGAAGCCCACAGCTGTCCTTTATCCAGAGCTACCACGTACGCTCTTAGGTCAGAAGCACATTGTTGCGACAGTGTGAGATTGACATCGAGTAGTTCGAGCCAATCGTGATGGTCCAATAGCCCCTTCATCCAGGCCATACGGGAGCCTCCGTTTAGACGCAATTCGTCCGTCGTCACATTAACTTCGGCACCCACCACACTCACTAACACTAATATAATAGCTGCAAACATCGTTCCAAACATTTTATTTAAGCACATTATTGAGCTAAAATAATTATTTTTGGAGATTATAGTTAGTAGATGGACAACCCATTTGTAAATTCACACATTTCCTTTTCGGTTCATGGTCTTTTATCTGAAACAAAACATGAAGTATGTTAGTAAATTATTTTAATTTCTTAAATATACATAGTATGGTATTTCGCATTGTATTTAGAAGAATTTATTTCTTGTAGGATAGATGTGAAATAAAAATTAAATAGGCCGTTTTATAATGGATTTCTAGACATGTTGTAAAGTTACAGCCTTTTGTGTCTTACTCCTGATCACAGGCCTCCTGGCAGTGCACACTGGCTCAATGAACAATTTTTTTTTTCATTTTTAATTTTAATGTCTTGTCTTTATTTTTTTAATTTATCAGACATGCAACTTTCCTCACGATGTGTTGCTTAACTCCGATCTTGTGGTACATTAGCACTTAAAACGGAAATTAACCATTTTATTAGTGCTGGCGGGGATCAAACCCAAATTGCTCGCGTACTCTTAAATTTACAGCGAGTGCTTGACACTTGAGCTGCCACGACTCTTTTGTAATGTTGTAAATATAAAAAATCCATAGGGGACATCATCACCGCGTCTCATTTCTTTAGATATATTAATCTAAAATAAGAAATTAAAACTCGGTTTATACTCTGCAAAGTGTCAAAACTTCACTCAGACCGGCGACTGTTGACATAATTATATCCGCCAATGTAACAAGTTTTGATGTTGTGATGTTTAGGAGTTGATAATGCTTGTTTTTATTTTAATATAAAATTGGCTTAACGGACAAAATTAACACCAATTCGATATGTTTATTGCATATATACACGACAAAGAGAAATTACGCCTTCAACTTTACCTAATCCACATCAATCAAATTAAAGAGTACATTATGCTCATGTGGTAATTCTTATATAATATCTAATAAAGTAATCATATTTTTAGTACAAATACGTAGATCACTCACAAAAAATCTTTAAATAAATCCTAAATATTTTGTATATGTGTATTTAATGCTATTTTAATGTACGGTAACCTGTGCCAAACATTTCATATATCTTTTAATAAAAATATTCTTTCAAAATCTTTTCTCCCAAATTTTTTAAACCGGAACGTAGTTTTACATTTTATTTTTAATTATGCTTTTGAAAAAACTCTTTTGGCGTCCCGTTTTTTACTCTTATTACATCGGGTATTCATAATGGAACGTGTTTTGGCGACAGCAAACGAGATGTTCTTGCTAAGAATTTATGCATGCATGTTACGAAAACGACCGGCTACATTTATAATTCCCTGGTAAAATATTGCTTACATGGTTGACATATTTGTCCTACCTATTACGTGTTTTTGAATAATGATTTATACAAGAACTTAGAATTTAGATAGATCTTAGAAATAATTTCAGGTCATTAAAACAATATAAAATTGTAAAAAAAATAGTTCGCATTTGCTTAAAATGTTTTCATTTCAGTAAATAAGCGATCCTTTCTTCTATTCTCAAATTCCCCCTGGGGATGAATAATCACTTTCAAGGAGGTGTAGTATTTCCTAGTACTAAACGTTTTAACTATGCATAACCTCATTTGTGAATGAAAGGAATATTAGGTTCATTAGCGTTTACTTCCTTCGAGGTCCGGAAGCAAATTATATTAAATGTACTCAGGTCAATACGAGCATACTAGAAATTACCGTGAGAATGTACATATCTCATTCATTACGTAGCTCTATGAGTTGCAACATCTCTATGAGAAAGTGCGTCGTATAGGCTTGTTAGATACACTAATTATATGACGAAGCTACTTCTGCACTCTGTCATTACCACTTATGAAATAACCGGCTCCTACATCACACTCGAATGCTGTTGGCGTGATTACGTTATTAAAGAAAAAACAACGGACTGTTATTTTCTTGTTTAATAACCAGTTGCTGTGTTTTAAAACTTGAACAGCTTGGAATCAGAAGTCTAATCGCGAGCTTTGGATTTGAATCCCTGGCTTTAATATTAATCTGTGAAGGCCACAATATAATTGGTATATTTTAATTAAGATGTTTGAAACAAAGCTCGCCAATTCGCCTGCTAAGCTTGGCAAACCTTCCTACAGCGGGAAAGGCCTATGTAAAGCGGCTGAAACCGATAAAGCTGTAATAAGAACCGCATAGGCTAACAGCACCAACATCATCGAAACCAGTTTGTAAAACGGCGAAATTTTATCGGCTAAAGAAGAAAAAGAAGGTATTGTGATGGATCTCTTGTCTTCAGCACTGAACATCCAAGAGTTACTGTGATTTAGTTGTTATACTTTGTATAGTATAGTGGTGGAAGCGAAGTCTGGAGTCTAACGTTAGTATAAATTTTAATAATAACAATACAGCAACGAAAAATCTTATTTAAATATTTATTAAGTTTTTTTTTTTATTTTACATTATTTTGTTGTTATTTGACAAACGAACACAGTTCTCCTGAGCTGGTGGTTGTCCGATGCTAAAGCCCATAAACAATTGAATAAAACTAAATTTACGGATTCTATCGCGTTTATTTAACTGATTTTACTTATTTTTAATTCCCGACGTTTCGGGTGCTTTACAGCAACCACGGTCACGGGGGGGACTGAGATGTTTATTCAATGTGTAGTGTTCGCGTAAATTTAAGAAATCATGATGTGCCCATAAACAACTTCATTTATCCTCCATAAAAAAATCAAAATACATGGTAGCGCACAGTACGCGAGCAACCTGCATCATATCATGGTTGTAGCACGAATGGATCGACTCGAGCGGAAAACGACCACGTATGGTGAGTTCAGAAAACCTGTGACCCTTTTTACTAAAAATTAAGCATTCCATCTTAGCTTTCAGGGGTGAAAAAGCATCTGCATTTTAATTTGTAATCTAGGATAAATGTAGAATTATATGTGCTACAGAATCCATTTACCTTCAGGTGGACTGCGTGCTGGTTTGTATCCTTATTCTATAAAAAACCGGGTTCGATTCCCGCCGGTACCAGTAAAATTTTTAATTTCTGTTTTAAATGCTAATTTACCACATGTTCAGCGGTGAGAAATATATTATATATATATATATATATATATATATATATATATATATATATGTATATATATATATATATATATATATACATATATATATACCGAGTGCTTCAAAAAAATGTATACACACTTTAAACTATTGTAGTTTTTCCGCTCTACAAGGCTAATGTTATATTTCTTCGCCAGGTGCCAGCATAATAGTCCCTCTATGTTATATTATCAGTTGGAATTTGTAATATCAACATGGGGGACGTACGTTTGAGTTTTGAAGAACGTAAGCAGGTTATTAAGTGGTACTGGAAGTTTGAGAATGTAAATGAAGTTCAAAGACAGTGGAGAAGGGAGTATGATACAGAACCACCTTCAAGATTAACAATTACACGCATACGAGACATATTCAATTCGAAGTTCATGGAACAGTGTGTGATGTGCATAAAGGTCATTCAGGTCGGCCTCGAACAGCTACAAGTGATGAGTCATCAACGGCAGTCTTGGAACTGTTTCAACGCTCTCCTAACACTGTAACTGGTATTAATTACCTAACAATGCTTGCTGATTCCATATTTCCTGCCATTCGTGCATTATACGGTAATGATGATTTTTATTTTCAACAAGATGGTGCTCCGCCGCACTATCACAGGGACGTACGAGCTTACCTGGATCAAAATTTGTCGGGCCAGTGGATAGGACGCAGGGGGCCAATCGAGTTTCCAGCACGCTCTCCAGACCTTACACCACTGGATTTCTTCTTGTGGGGCACAGTAAAAGATGAGGTGTACAAACGTAAACCACGTAACCTAGACATTCTTTGGAATGAGATTCAAGCAGTGTGTAGAGAAATCTCATTGGACGTTTTGATACGATGTACAGAATCTATGGTGACTCGTACTCAGAATTGTATTGATGCTGCAGGTCACCAATTTGAACAGTATTAACATTTGTTATTTATGTTTCATTTACATTGGACTTTCAGCTTTCTATTTTCTTGAAATTTAACTTTGTAGAACGGTAAATAAATTTTCTATGGAAGTTCAAAGTGTGTATACATTTTTTTGAAGCACCCGGTATATATATATATATATAGATATATATATATATATATATATATATATATATATATATATTTGTATAATGTCGTAAGGAAACTCGCATGTCTCATTAAATTATATAATATTGAATAGAAGTATTCGCCAACACGCATTGGGTCAGCGCGGACATTTCTTTGCCCCAAAAACCTCTTAGATATGAAAAGACTGGGCGTAGGACATATTATATAGATTGTAACTTCACTTTCTTTACTCATTGTCACCCCTAAGGAATAAAAATGTTTCGTTATCAGTAAGGGGTCTTCAGTTCTTGTCACTCAGTTTTATTCAGTGCGAGAGTCCGCCTCGACCGAGTCGACCCATTCACACAGTAGCTATAAAGATAAAATGTTCTACTTCATGAAACCCCTTTGTGTTTAAACACAGTCTCTAGTTCTGAACAACTCAATTTTAGTACAGATTGGCTATATTTTCTTCATATTTAAATTATTCTATCATTCTTTATTCAGAAAAAGAAACAAATGCAAAAATCCCTTAAGAGCGTTAATGAATAAAAACAAACGGAACGACTTGAGCTTGCATCACATTATAAATCCATGATTTGACACTATTCAACACGGATCTAGCTATAGTGACAATGGAAGGCTCTTACAGAAAGCCTCGCTGCCTGTAAGTACCAACACCTTGTAAATATTCATTGGATATCTTACGAACACCAGCGAATAGAGAAGTTGTATTATTTTTTGCCACAAATGTGTATATAAATTAAAGAATAATTCATTTAAATTATATTAATATAATTTTTATCAACATTTTTTTAAATAATGATTTATATAAAATAGTTACTTGAATAAAAAAACTACTTGGGTTTGGTTGTGACATCATTATA